TACACCTTAAACTCACTGGTTATCCTAAATCTTAAACTCACTGGTTATCCTAAAATTGTGCTCCAAATTATGTATAACTATGTGTTATATTGTAGTAACACCAAATGTATTTGTCCATTATTTTTATTTTGATAGTCTAGCATTCTCAATGTTGACTAATCTTGGAGTAATCTTGGGTTAAGCCATCTGTATGTTCACATTTATTATCTACTAGCTGTGGTGTGATTGCCATATTGTCCGAAACCACCACAGTCCATGCAGTTAGTCTTAATAAGATAAATATCTGTGGCATGTTTTATTTATTATGATTATCCTTGAGGAAATGTAAATATCCACAGACAGTGCTGTATTGATTTCATATGGATACTCTTGTTGCTTTAGTTTTTGATGAGGATCAAGGTCTTGTTCACTTAAACTACATGGAGGCACTGAAGGTGCTGAGTTTTAATTATAAAAAAAAGAATGTAGTTAATTGCAATTACATAAATTAAGTAAAACTTTACAAGGCTAATAAGGATGAAGTAATAGACATCTATTAGAAGGGACTGTTCCTGGAACAGTAAAGCATGTGCTGGATCCTTTTTATTTCAGTAGTTGAGTGTTTGAAAGTATTTTCCCTTTCATAAATGTATGCACTCACCTTCCAATTAACTGAATACGAAAGTGTGTAGATCACTGCTCATACCTAGAAGGCTTAGCTTTCTTTAAAGCTATTATGTGGAGAATATACACACTCTTTTAACGTTTATGTTGACTGATGATTGTTAATGGGTTGAAGGAAAAGAGGCACAATCATGAAGAACTGTGGATTTCTTTATATAGAAAATATAACGCTACTATCTCTTTGAGAATATTTGGAATGTGATTTCCTCCATACCTCGAGTTTTATAGATGATAGTTCCTCTCACTTCTACTTTTGAAGGTTGCCAGTGAGCCAGACACGGCAGTTCAGTAATAAGGACAGTAGTGGGACATTCTTATGGACCAGATTACACGATAAGATATAAAAACACCTGACTTACATTCTAGGCTCTATGATTAATCATTTTTTATAACTTGGTGTATCATTGTACAGTTTCATATCTCAGGCCTCTTACATTTAAGTGGTTTAAAAGATAAAACTTCCATTAAAAATACTTTTAAATGCAGAAAGTGGGCCAGGTCTGGTGGCATATGCTTTAATCCCAGCACTAAGGAAGCAGAGGCAGATGAATTTCTGTGAGTTTGTGGCCAGTCTGGCTATGCATAGTGAGTTCCAGGCCAGCCTTGGTTACATAGTAGGGCTCTGTCTTAGAAGAAGAAGAAGAAAAAAGAGGAGGAGGAGGAGGAGGAGGAGGAGGAGGAGGAGGAGGAAGAGGAAGAAGAAGAAGAGGGGAAGGAGGAAGAAGAAGAAAAGGAGGAAGACTCTTTTTGGTAATACCAAAGTCATGTTGTTTTGAGACTAAATTTTGCTATCTAGTCCAGACTGATCTAAAAGTCAAGATCATTCTACCTCTATCCTTCCAGCGCAAGGGTTATAGGTATGCACCACAATCCACTTTCATGAACTAGTTATCCACTCAAAAGTTGAGAGTGCAGAAGACCAAGAAGGGTGAGTGGTGTCGGGTACCTGTCCCTATGCTGCTCTGAAGACTGATAAAGGAGGACTATTAGAACAGGACATTAATGGAGAAACAGATGATGTAACAATTCAACTTGTATGAGACTAGAGAAACAGCTCAGAGGTTAGGACTGCCGACGGCTCAACACATTTCACACCAGAGTTTAAATCCCATCAGATGGCACACTAAGTCTTTAATGCTGTCTTTTGGCCTCTGGGGGCAACTGCACACACATGTGCACATACAGTTACAGAGACACATACACAAATAAATACAAGCACACATGCTCACAAATAAATAAAAATCTTGAAAAATTTCAAACTAAAATTTTTAACAAATAATTTATATACAACTTGAATATTACTTGTACATATTTTCTCTTTCCTTTAATTGTTAGGATTTTTCTGGATATGTAAGAATAAAGAAGAGAAAGAACACTGTGTTCACATTTTATTTGTGACAGCTGTATCAGTGGGGACGGTGTTTGTGTTTAAAGTAGCAATACCTTGAGATGACTGGCCTGGCTTCTCATTACTGTTCCTTCCATTCCTCCTTCTAACTGGGGCTACTTTATCTAATTTATTAGTTTGATGATACCCAGGGTTTTCTTCTGTTTTGATTTTTAAAGACAGAGACTCACCATATAGCCCTGGCTGGCCTGACACTCAGTATATAGGCCAGTCTGGCCTTGAACTCAATAGAGATCTAATTGCTTCTCAGTGCTAGGATTGAAGGCTTGTGCTACCATGTCTGGCCTGGGGCTTTGGAGCAATCTCTGTTTTAGCCTCATCGAAGGATCTCTAAGCTAGTGGTAAGTAGCCTAGCCATGCCTTGTAGGAAGCTGTTTCCTCATCCTGGTTCCATCACAAATGCAGTCACTAACCGTTGGCCTCATTTTGGTCAGAACTGAGTGTGTATTCCTTGCACTCTTCCTGTGTCCTCCTGGTACCCTGGTCTTGCCCCTCACTTGCTTTTGAAAAGTGAAGTTTCTCCCTGTGTTCTAGTCCCTACCTCAGAATGCTGCTACCTGCTGCCATACCTGCCACCAGTGCATTCTTTCCTCTGGTCTGCCATCTAGCCACACCCTATCCCTTCCCAGGATAGCTGCCAACCACCCAATACTATGTGCCTCTGTGTTTATTATCAAGCCACATCTTTTGGGCTTTTGCCCATTGATTGCTTTAGATTCCCTGACACTCCCTTCCTCTCCATAAGACAATCAACTACTTCTGGATCCTTAGAAGGTGTCCTGTCAATGAACTAGGCCTTGATAATATGTAGGTCAGCATCCCTGGACTGATGCAGGCTGAGCCAGCTTCTCATGCCCCAGTGCAAGCACTTTTTTATTAAAGGTTTTCTTCCTTACACAAAATTGTCTTCACAGAAGGTTTTCCACGAAGACCATCACATGTGTCACATGGCTAATAAAGTTTAATGATCATGAAGTTTGGTGTACTTCCAAATGCATGATCAAAATGACCAAGATCACTCAAACAGGAATGAAAACAACCCCCCAACCTTGTTGTGTATTTATATTCATCTTCTTAAAGCAAAATAAAACAAAAATGAACCCTAAAGGATATACAACGGCCATTTAACAAAACAATGGGCAATGGAGAATTCTTACCAAAGATTTAATGACTGTTTACCATGTCTAATGAACATTGGCCATTGATCTGAGTACACTGAAAATAATTAATAATACTATACTACCAACTAAATGTCTAAACCTACTGTCCCCACCTGACCCCAAGAAGTCCAGACATAATTTTGATGTTTCCCTGTGTTACCAAATGACTAACAAGGGACCATGGCCTGCTCATTTGATTGGGTCCTTTGAAGCTAAGTGAAATGCTTTTGGTCAGTTTTGACAGGGTATGCATTTGCCACTGAATTACACTTGGAAGAGGCTATTTTGTACACAAATGTAAATCGAACCATAAAGTTTCAAAATCACACTGCTTTGCATATGAATATATTCCGCACCAATTATTTGCTCCTAAAATCTGTAAGCTTAAAAAAAAACAAAACAGAATCTTAAAGAAACCATTACATTCTTATGGACAACACACAAATGCAGAATCCAGAACAGTGCAACTGAGTAAACACAGTAACAAAGTCTTTACTGCCCCCTGCTGTCGGTTCCTTTAAAATAGCAAACATTACAGGAAAAATTGACAGTGTAAACTAGCTAGTGAGTAATCCCAGTGCTTTATTCTGAGCTATGATTGTAAAGAAAGACATCCATGCCAGCAACGTGTGCACGAGCTCACACAGAAAGGCAAAGCGTATAAAGTCTTTTTCGGCTTGCGTAGCTGACCTTGTCCACTTCATTCTTTTTCTAAAATTAAATTATTTGAATTTCCTTTTAAACATTTACATAGTTGGGATAAAACATTCAAACAACTCAACGGATGCCCATCTTCATAGTGTAATCCTGACTTGCAGTGAAGAATTAGACATGCTAAAGAGTCTGGGTAATGGAGCTACGAGGCCACAGCAAGGCGTCATTATTTTACATATGATGTAATTCAGACACCATAAAATAGAATGTGATTTCTTATTATACTTTTCATCTCATGGTTGAAGACATCAAGTCCCAAAACTGTCTTGTTTTAAGAGACGAGTCCAAAGAAGATCCTAGATTGTAAGCCCTGCAATATGGATGTAAGGTCCCTCTCCTAAACTTTTATTGCACCTGAGAAGGTATACCGCCTGTAACTTAAAAAGAAGAATTCAAAAGAAACATAGGGGCATGGTGGGAGGCTTCTTTAGCTCTCTGTATGCCCTCAATTCCATGTTTTCTTTGGCTGTGCCCTGCGGCTAAGCATAGAAATCCAACCTGCTGTGCTATGGACTTGGTTTATTGTTCTTTAACATAGAAATTCTGCCTACTCTGGTTGCTACACTTTGGAGATGTGGGTGTGTGTGTGTCTCAAATTAATAAGGCAATCTGGTCCATTCCTTAGCCTGGATGCCTATTTTAAGATGAATCTATGCTTGATCTCTGTGCACTGTCATCTCTGTACCTCTGGATAACTCTAGCTTTGGGATAATTTTTTTACCTTCTTCAGTGACTCATGACCAAAACCACACACTTTTCTCCATACTTTGGATAAATCACTTACACATTTTTACCCTCTCTAGATTCTGTTAAATCTACACTCCTATATAACAGCCTGCTGGTATTTCTCATTGCATTTCAAGTGACAGCAAAACCTGCCCCACCTGGGACACCTAGTGGTGGTGGCTATTTGGCCTGCTTTTTGTCTGGCAGGTTTTTGAGAAAATTCTACTGCAGAGACCAGAGGGTTAACAATCCAAGAAATTTCTCATCTCCCTTGAAGTAACACCGGAAGTCAATAAAATCACTTTACATTCACAATAAAGAGTTCTTACCTGACCCTGGGGGGTGGGTTTCCAGTGACTCTACACTCCAAATAAACTCTGCTTCCTTCAGCAACTTCTTGGCTCCTCAGCTTCTGGATGAACCGAGGTGCAGATGGCAAGTGGCGGGCTTTCTGGGACTGTGGGTGTGGTATGTGGGCGTGCGGCAAGGTCTCTTCTGGGGCCTGGTGGGCCTGGTAGCAAAGGCTGTCCTGGGGTTGCTTGATCTCTGGGTCCATCTCCAGTTGGTCTAGCTGTTCAGCAGTGGGGCTCTGGCTGGCTGAGGCACTCATCAGGGTTGATGGCTGATTTTTAGGTGACAGATACCCACTGTCTGGTGATGAGGACTCACCATTTGGGCTTCTGTTCCTTGGCTTGGCTGCCTCTCTAAATATGGATGTCAGTTCCTCGATGAAACTAGCCGCCTTGTCACACAGTTGGCTCTGGGGGCCACCCTTGCTTTGCTGGGCAGCTTTGGGCTTTGCACTTGGATTGGGAATTTTTGTACCTCGTTTTTCAGCCTTGCGGAGGCTCCGGATGTAGCTGGGGCTGGCCAGCAGGGGTGATACCCCGGGTTTTCTCTTTGAAGCTGGGGAAGTGATCCTTTCAACTGGTTCTGGTAGAGGCTGGACAGGTGCTCGCCTGTTATCCCGAGGTCGTTCTGAGGAAGTCTGCTCGCCTGATTTCGTCTCCTCATGGGAAGGAGTTTCGCAGAGGCTTATGGGAGACTTGCTGAAAATCTGCGAGATCTCCTTTTCGGAGTCAAAATCTTCAGTTTCAGAGTTGTCTATAGCTCTGCGTGCCAGGTCAAGGCTTTTATTTATTTCTTCCTGGCTGAGGAAAGCAGAGAGGCCTGGGAAGAAGTCAGTACTTTTGCCCTCTTCCTGCACGTCTGATAAAGAATCATAGAAGGAGTCGTGGGAGGAAGTCTCTGACATATTTGAGCAGTCTCCACACACTTGTTGCTTGTATCAGGAAGGCTGGAGGCACAGGAAACCTGTGTTCTTGCTTTCTGAAAGACAACATAGAATCTTCATCAGTGCTAATAACCCCTCTCCTGATTTTTTCACATATCTCTAGTAACAACAAATTGGAAGAAACATTAAGATGAACCAAGATAGCAATCTCCTTTATTCTATAAATTGGAAGAAAGACAAAATATTTGTGTGCTACAACTTAGAATTAGTTAATTATTTAGTTTAGGTTTTCGAGGTAGCATCTTGCTATGTAGCTCAGCCTGGCCTTGAACACACAATCTTCTTATCTTCGTTTCTAGGTCTTAGACCTATTGGCTGGGTTGCAATGCCTGGCATGGCTTGTAATTGCACATTGACATGAACTCTGCAAGGGAGCAACTACTACCAAGCCATACAAGGAAAGGATGTCTTCAGCGGGTCCCCAGTGGACACATAGGGGGCTGTTTTGTGTGCCTTTCTTCAACACAAAGCTCATCAGTGGTCTCAATGCAGCAATAATTTCAGAGAAGTGCTTGAGAATTTTAGTAACTCTGAGTGTCCTAGTTTGGTTTCTGTTACTGAGATCAATACTATGAGCAGAAGCAACTTTGGGAGGAAAAGATTTATTTGGTTCATAGGTTAGCATCCATCACGGAGGGAAGCCAAGGCAGGGCCTCATGCAAGAACTCGGAGGCAGGAACTAAAGCAGAGACTGGAAAGGAATGCTGGGAAGGAATGCTGCTTACTGACTTGCTCAGCTCACTGTTTCATACAAGTCAGGAGCACCTGCCCAGTGGTACTGCTGCCCACAGTGGGCTAAGCCTTTTCACATCAATCATCAAACAAGAACATGACCCCAGTCATGATCCCGAACAATCTGATGGAGTCCATTTCTCAAGTGAGTTGCTCTTCACAGACGACTCTGGTTTGTGTCATGATGACAAAACACAATCAGCACACTGATTTTGTTCACATGATCCTAATCCACCAAGGGCAAAAGAACAATCTCAGATTTTCCTCATTTCATAGAAAGATCAAGTATTTGGGTGTTTATAAGCTATGGTGTATTTATTTATTTATGTCTCAATAAACTGTCTTAACTTTATGTGCAGTCACATCATGTATATTCATTCATTCAACATAATTCTAACAGATAGCTATAATCATTTATTTAATATCAGGTGCGGAGAGAGCATGTGTGCTCCATGCTAAGTATTTCAAACCTTTCTCACGAGAGACAGGGTGTTAGACATTGGAACTGCTTAGATATTTAACTTTGTGAACTGGGCAAATCCTAATGCCCCACTGTCCTGTTCTTCTTATTGTACTTACCTTTACCAACTCAACGGTTCTCTAGTTCAGTGATTTTTCAACCAGTGGGTCACGACCCCTTTGGGGGTCGAACAGCCCTCTCACAGGGGTCGTTTATTAGATATCCTGCTGGTCGTTTATTAGATATCATAACCCTAGCAAAATTATAGTTATGAAGTAGCAATGAAATAATTTTATGGTTGGGGGTCACCAAAACATGAGGAACTGTATTAAAGGGTCACAGCATTAGGAAGGTTGAGAACCACTGCTCTACTTCCTCTGTCTTGACTGTTGTGTGGCATGGAGCCATCCTAATTATTCTCTTATGAAGAAAGTTTGTATTCAGTTCACTTTTAATATGTAAATATATTTTGTTTATGAGCAACAGGCAGTTAAACTATAATTTTGAGATGACAGAATCATGGTAAAAATAAACAAGTATAAAACAAATATGAATATAAAATTTTATTTAGCTAATTAATCATGAAACCATTAAGAGTTTACAACCATTTCAAAGAAGGCACTGACGACTACACACATATGCAAGTGATTATGAGTGCTTAAAATTTTGGTAGACTTACAACTGGTTAAGACCTATACAACAATAAAATACAATGTTTGGAGTCATACAGAATGCAAGTCAGTACTATTTTCACTAGAAAAAAATAATTTGTATATTTGTGAAACACTCAGCCTGGCATGGTTGCATGTGTCTACAATCTAGCACTCAGGAGGAGGCAGGAGGCAGGAGGCAGCCTATTCTAAGGAGAAAGTTCCAGGCTAGCCAGAGATCCACAGTGAGATTCTCTCTACAGAGGAGAACCAGGATTCAGGTCCAGGCAGTGAATCCAGAGCTCTGTCTTAACATGTACTTTAGTACTGTTAAATTGTAGTTTTACAGGCAAGATTCCTAAACCATGTATCGTATTAAAAAAAACAGGATCAGAAACAAGATCCATACATCACTACTCCATTATAATTTAGTATATGATGAGCATACTATGATATATTTTAATGCTTCAGGAAAAGCATTATGTAAGGAAGCCTAAGCTAAGTGAATGATGGGAAACAGCCAATTCTTACTGTTAAGTAGGGAGTGTTTGCTGCAGGCACAAATTGTCTCACCTGCTTACTAACTCGCATGTCGGTTTTCAACACCTGATGGGATCCAGTTGTCAGGATTAGGTGCCGTTTAAAAATTGCTTGCACAGTGAAAAATGAATTAATAGCATGATGGCATACCTGCTCCAGATTTAATTTTCAGCTCAGTTATTGCTGCTGGAACATGCATGCAGGCTAGGAAAACCACTCACTCAACGAAGGATGAACAAGAGAAGTTTCCAGGTGGCCCGAGGTCACTGGAAAATAGTGCTCCAGAGATTTGTTTTTTGTCAGTCAACACCCCGAAATGAAAAGACCATCTTCAAAAAGAATGATACACAGCTGCAAACATCTCCATTATCTCCCTGAGACTTCCTATTGGATGCTAAGTCATGCTTTTTCTAATCCAATGATGTGAGAGATGCAGACTATGAAGCAAAATTAAAAGTTCAACTTAACTTGCTTTTGGTCAGTAAAGAGGGAACGAGAGAGAAATGCCAGTGTAAGGTAAGATTCTGATTCTAACATCCTGTTCCCCGATTGGTTCTTGATTTATCAGTAAAGAAGGCCAGGGGCCAATTGTTGGGTGGAAGGTATAGGCAGGACTTCAAGGTCTCAGAAGGAAAAGGCAGACACAGGGACATAGAGAGGGTCTTTCCTGCCATGCTTTGGAAGAAAAAGAATGAAATTACCATGATCTACAGGGTAGGTAGGGCCTGTAGCCTCTGCTACAGACTGGTGACCAAGGATGTTTGGAAGGGGCTAGGTGTGACTAGCCACTGAAGTTCAGGGCAGGTGGAGAGACACAGATAATAAATTGGTAAGGGCATGCTTTTCCAGGTGGGAGGTAGTAACCCCCAGCAATTGTACCAAGAAGGCAAATTATTCTCTGTCTGTCTCTGTCTCTCTGTCTCTCTGTCTCTCTCTCTCTCTCTCTCTCTCTCTCTCTCTCTCTCTCTCTCTCT